CCGGTAAGAGAAACAAAACTTTAACGAAGCTAGGAAGAAATTAATGTTGAATAGTCAATCTAATGTGATGTTGTGGTCGCGGCACTGCCTTCTATTAGGCTGGTCCATAAGTCTTGCAACAAACTGGCCAAATTTTGATTTTAATATTTTCATTATCTTTTTGTTCCATTCATCCAGCATGCTACCACCATCAATATCTACAACCTATTGCGCACTAGAAGCTGTTCGATGCCTCTCTTGTAGAACTCTACTGAATTCTGATCGAAGAAAGATCAGATGTCGATTTTGACATCATGATGGTTAGGATGAGATTTCTTCTCTAGGAGGTGGTCTGGAGAGGGAAGCAGGTGGGCATCCTTTGGCGAGGTCAGGCTATAAGGTGGATACGGAAGAACTCTCCGTCCGAGAGTCCCAAAATTTTTCCTGGATTTTCTTAGCAAGAGGTGGTTCAACGGTGTCATAAAAAGCAAACTTTGCCTTGCTTTTCTTTCGTATTAAAAGCGTTGCAATCGAGCTGTGGACGGTTGACTTCCGCGTTGACTGCGACATCTACACGTAGGGGTTTCCAGAGCTCAACTCCTCTCGTGTTCCACCAAAAATCCGAGAAGGCCCTACTTGGACGAGGTTGAACTTAGCAGTAAGAACTCCCAAAGCGTTTGAGCTGGACTATCGCCGCTTTGGCAAATGTGATGGATGGTCAATCGAAGAATCCATAGTAAGTCGACTTGAACATGAACGGTGTCAGATCGTGTTTGGAGCTGAATCGGGCTCAAGGCATGTGGGGACCAAACTCTACATTTTCGGATCTTCACAAGTCTTTGAGATGCCTCACAAGGGGGTCTTTCAGGGCAAGCCGCGCTTTTTCAAAACGGTTTTTGCATATTGTAGGGACGCATGTAGGGAACACAAAACCATGTTTCATTTTCGCTGAACGGTTTTAGCAGTACCAAAAAAGAAGCATAAGGTACTGTTAATGGTTCGATCCCCCGTGGCGACTAAATTTTGCATTTGGGTTGGCGCCTTACGAA